CTCAGCATGCTTCTCTGGATGTTGGAATACAACCTCCATACATTAGTTCCCAGGAGCTTCTAAAATTATAGGGTCCAAAATCAAATCGACAGTACGGTCAAAAGAATCTCCCGATACTAATGGGACGAAAAATTCGGATACCAAACTTGTGAAAGTTCAAGGATTGAACTTTCAATCAACGTATCAAGCCTGAATTAGATCCGAATGATAACTTATTTATATCAAAAACAGTTAACTAACGGTCAGTGCATCCTCCGATTTTTCCCTGTCCCTCTGCTTCAGAACGGACGTAAAATCCTAGAAAACAAGATCTGTTACTTACGAGGAATGTCCCGCAAGAATTTCCATGTGAATATGGGCGTTGGCTTTTCGCGTGCAAAACAGTCGAGTGAAATGGTTTCCTTTTCATCTATGGTAACCTCTTGCTGAGCCAAAGAGACTTTTGGTTTCGCTGCAGACGAAAACAAAATATGATCACTGACAAGTAGAGTAACGTGAGCGTTATACCTTACCCTGGGATATCTTACACTGCAAAATGAAGAGCGACTGTCAATTTAATACTACGTAGAACCGTAGTCCAGTCCATGGTTATGAATTCCCAACCTACTTTCAGCTCACGCTATGGAGCACTAGCTCAGATAAGCTCGATACATCAGAAAACCTCGAGATGTCGCGGGTTCAAGAACATGGTAAACGATTGTGCTGGTAAAACTTGCAAAAGGATGAAAGAGTAACGATTACATTTCATGGCATAGTTGTTACTCCAGGAATGAAATCTCTCTATAAGGGTGTGTATCGCTCCCAGAAATTTAAATACACGATCATTCAGCGAGTACGTACGTACTCCGTACGACCTTGACTTTTCTTACCGGCCAGGAACAATACGGCATTTGCAGGCAAAAATAAACAAACCTCCACAATCATTAAGCGAACTTGAGCCTGCTGCGACAGTGCTGGCTCCGTTCGGACACGAGATACAATCTGTCTGCTGAGGTTTGTCCTGATATGTGTCACGTGGACAATCCAGACAATTCGGTCCCAGGCCATCAGAGGAGAACCTTCCAGGGGGACATAAGTCTAGAATGAAATAAACATTTGGTGTATATAAGCGTCACATCAGGCCTCAAATTCCTTGGTTGATAATCAACGTTGTTGGTAACTAGACCCATCGTAAAACTTATTTTTAATCGCATTTTATTTGTCCATCGCTCTATGGACTTCACAACACACAAAGGCCAGTTAAATGCTTAAATCATATCATATCTCATATTTCTCCCGATTAAAAGATCTTTAAGGGAAGAAAATATTCTTGTTCGGTTGTACAAGTCAGATTGAAATGTAATGATACCTTCTTTTGAAATTGCTAACCAGTTGCATACTTTCCATTTATCCAATTGCATTTTGTCAAGGAGATTGTAAGGTAGAAATTGTCCACGTTACTTTGCATTTTAAATATCTTAGTATGTTATTGAAATGAGGCCGTGGAGGGTAGGGGAGCGGGGGAACTGCACACGTGGGACCACGTACGGAACCATAACAACATTGTACTAAAATGGCACACTCTTGGGGAAATTGAAGAGCGGCGCGGTTTTTTTTCCCAGGATCAGTACGTAAGTACAAGGGTTTATCTTAAAACTTTCATTACAGGCCGTTCTATAAGAGGGGCTGAGAAGGGCCTTTGTGCGCCATAGCTCTATCCTTGCAGACTTATCAAAACTCAGCCGCAAGCTCTTCTATTTCGACCCCGAAAATGCAGTTTGTACAGGTTGCACTGCATGTATATCGATATGAGTGCTAGGCGCTCGTTTGCCACAGTTGTTAGTTTAGGCTAGCTAAATAGTGGTTTGACTGGATGAAGGGTCGTAAAGTTCTTAACTTTTCTAATTAATATATACTATTGCCCCGAGCTCACAAATGAATTCGTGACATGGGCAAACTTCATTCAGCTATGTCAGAAAAATAGATCGTAAAAATGTAACTAAAAACGTTGAAACTACCAATCCTCAGTCCTTTTTCTGTATGTTCCTACCTCTTTGGTGTCTTTGTTGTCTATTACCTTTGCTAACTCAAAATATCACAACGTGACTTTTATAAATACAGAAAGCAAACTAATTTTTTTTTCTCATATTCTGTTATTCTTGGCGCATGCGTATTAAATGCCTATATGTACAACTAAAACAACTCACTTCGGCATTCAACAGCGGAACTTGCTCCCGGTAACGAGGAAGTACCCGCGGGACACTTAAGCGTGCACTGTGTTTTTCCTTGCTGGTCATTGTAAGTTCCCGCGGGACATGGACTGCAATCAGTATTCGAGGATTGGTACATGCCAGCAGGACACTTACCTGTAGAAAGGTTTTAAAAAAGGAAAAGATAGCTTGAACTATCAACCAAATCTATATAACCTCCGGTACACTGTTTTCAATGCCTTGAAGTCGAACCTTGAATGACTATAAAGTCTCACTTCTGAGCTCGTATTGAAATGGCTTTCCTTCCAATTAATCATTTTATTTACCATTCTACCCACATTATCTCGTGACCCTTTTCCAAAAGTACGGCTCAGTGTTTATTAAATCTGTGGGCGCTTTTTGTCAAGCAACTACACCTCTTTGCAAAAGCTGTGTTCTAGTCCTCTAAGTTTTATTAGTTTTTAGTAACATCATCCCTTCTTCTGTCAATGGCTCTAACCCTTCGTAGGAATCAAAAGTAATTTGAAAAAGTGACCGCAATTTACACTTCACTTCTGTCTGCCCTTCGATCGAAAATAGACATCGATTTTTGAAAAATAAAATAAAAACCTAAATTGGAACCATGAGTAGCATGGAATGTTTTTATCTTAAAAAATTCCCATTCAAAAGTACTCTATATCCTTTAAAATAATTGCAAGCCTAATCATGTAAATTGTCAACCTGGCTACTATGTTACCTAATAAAACGCTTTGACAAAGATTTCCCTTAAATGGGTTGGAGTAAGATGTAAGAAGGGCGACCATCTTTTCATACCCAATCTCATCCACAGAAAGCTTTTCACGCAACTGTAAGCCAAATCACTCACCACAATGCAATTCCTGTTTAAAAAAGACGATTACTGTCATTTCGATTCGACCTTCTTCGCACGTCGTGTTCGGGTCTTTTTTGGAGGACACTGCAAATAGTATGTCTGACTTAGTAGAATTCTGACATGTGCAGAAAATTTACTTCCCTCCCTCCACTACTGCGCAAAACTTCCGACATAGTTGACTCTTGTCTTACCTCAAGCTTTCCACTTACGTTTTTCTTATTTAATTTTGTGTATATTTATGTATTTATTATAGTTTAATGGATAATCTAACTGGACATTAAAGAAAAAAAAAGAAAGAAAAAGCAATATTGAACCCAAATAAATGACAGACTACTTGCCCAAATAATTAAATAAGAAGGAAACATGGCGAAGCAATGGATTTTTCTACTTCTACTGATCCTCTTGCCGCTCTTTGCTTCGAAGTTAATGTCTACAGACAAGCGATTCCAGGTCTCAGGGACCCTGTTAAAACTAGTTTTCGTTCTCAGTTGGAAGTACTCTCTTCCTCCCCCTCCTCGCTTTGTGCTCCTTCTCCTCGTTCAGTTATCCTCCTCGTTCTCTACTCTTCCTTTCCCCGTTTCCGCCCTCCTCCTCGTCCTCGCTCTTTCCATGTCATAGTCCTGATTCTGTCTCCCTCCTTCTCGTTCTGTCATCGTTCTCGTACTTGTCTTAATCCACGTCTTTTCCCCTTCCCCCCGTCCTCCTCTTCCTCGTTCTGTCCTTGTCATCACACTTATCCTCGTCTTCATCCTCATTTTTACTCTGTCCCTGTCCTCCTCATCCTGTCCTCGCCCATGTTCTGTCCTCCTCTTCCCCTCCCTCGATGTCCTCCTTATCCTCTTCATTTCCCTGTCTCCCTCCTCCTCCTTCTCGTCGCTCTCAATCTCGTCCTTGTCTTCATCCTTCTGTCCTTGTCCCCCTCCTCGTCCTCGTCCCCGTCTTCCTTCTCGTCGTTTTCGATCTCGTCCTTGTCCTCCTCCTCCTCCTCCTCCTCCTACCCGTCCTCCTTCTCGTCATTCTCGATCTCGTCCTCGTCTTTGTCTTCCTTCTCGTCGTTCTCGATATCGTCCTGTCCTCATCTTTCTGTCCTCCTCCTCCTCCTTCTCGTCCTCGTCCTCCTCCTTTTGTCCTCGACCTCTTCCTCCTCCATCCCCTCCTCCTCGTCCCCATCCACCTTCTCGTCCTCGTCCTCCTACTTTTGTCCTCGACCTCTTCCTCCTCCATCCCCTCCTCTTCGTCCCCATCCTCCTTCTCGTCCTCGTCCTCCTCCTTTTGTCCTTGACCTCTTCCTCCTCCATCCCCTCCTCCTCGTCCCCGTCCTCCGCCTTGTCCTCCAACCTCTGTCTTTCTTTTCCTCCTCTTCCTCATCCTCGTTTTCGCTTTCTTTCTCGTCCGCTACCTACTCTCGTTAGCAACAAATAAAAGAAAAACATCGATTACTTGTCTTACCGACACAATCCGGAATTGTGTTAGAAGGACTCCAGACTCCATTTTTGCATTGCCAAAAATAAACGTTAGGTGGTGGCTTGTACAGATTGCTTCCACTGGGGCACTGAACGGTGCAGAATGAAGATGCACTGCTGACCTTGTTACATGATTTGGTGCCGCCAACAGGGCCATCAGGGTCGTGGCACGACGGTCCTAGAGATTTAAATATGTTGTTATGGTACTTTTCATTGCAAGAGACCGCTTAGTGATTTGGCTCATGATTAACAAAAAACTTTGACAGTCGATTGATCCGGAATTCACGTACATGACTTTCATATATAAACATCCAGTCGAACTCGGACGCTCTACGTGTAACTTATGCTATAGCTTTCATTTTCCTTTATAAACTCTTACGAAAGGAGCCTACGTTTTCCCATCTTCGATAATTTTTGAACGCACCTTCGGGTTTTCTATTTAGTACGATTAGGTTTTTCATTATTTCTGCGCGAATATTACGTGTATGGTACAGGAAGAAAAATAGGAACCTTTCGTAGCTGTCCTATCTCTCCTTCAGGATTAGCCTCTTCCGTGCAGCTCGAGCTACAACAACATTTGTGCGGTTGGGGGAGAGATACATATCAATGAACGGTTAGGTTAGTTTCCATGTGAAATGGTAAAATTTCTTTCCCAAGAACAGAACTTCGTGACCTTACTCATTATTCAGGTCGTCCCTAAAAAAAATTCAGAACAAATCAGGCAGAACTCACGTTTGAGTGTCACGGTAAACTCGCATTTTGCGCTTTTTCCTGCTGCATCGAACGCTCTGTATTCAACTTTAGTTGGAACAAACTGGAAAACATCGCCACTTTTGTATTGGTTCTCCACATTTGTAACTCCGACGTTGTCACTGAAGGTCGGCTCAATCCAAGAAACAGCCTTGGGTGTGTCGGAAATTTGATAGATATCGCTGGGACAGCTCACGACCTTGGGAGGCTCTTCATCTGAAAAAAAAAATTGTCGTCACATTCTTCGGGTTTTGGCTGTGGCAAATTTGTATTCTTTTGGATCTTTACACCCATTCTAAAGTTACTTTTATGCATAAGCAAGATCTTTAAACGTGTTCAGGTTAGGAAACTTTGTTTTAAGCTTCACGCGGGTATGGCGTGACATCTATAAAGCTGTTCCACCGCTGTAACGCTGCCTCATCATTTTGTAAGCAGAGGATGCGTTCACTAAGTCACTTACCACTGATAGTAACATACATAGAACAGCTAGCGGTTCCTGCTGAGTTGGACACTGTCCAATCGACTTTTGTCATCCCTGGAGGGAAGAGGTAATCTTTGGAGATTTCAGGCGGGTTGATTTTCATTTCCTGCACGTTCGAAACGGGCAACTTCCACACAGCGCTAACATCAGCTTTATCTTTTCCTGGGGCTAAAACTTGTCTTATGTTATCCGGACACTCGATCCAAGGCTTGCTTACAACTGAAAACAAAATCAACACACTATCGTGTGGTAATTTGTTGTGGCTAGCCAAGCAAAATTTTGTCATAACTCACCACTCAGCTTCTTGTAAGTGACATGAAGTTAACATTTCATACTTTCTGATATTTCCGCGTGTTTTTCCACATATCCACTTACCACAAAACTAATGGTTATTATGAGAATGACAATTACAGTGACTGACAATTACGGTGACGATGAAAATGACGATGACGAGGATGATAATGGTGATGAGCGATAACTATAACGATATTTATTATGATAATGGTAATGATAACGATAACGATAATGATAACAATGACGATAAAGATAACGATAATGATAACGATAACGATAATAATAGCGATAACGATAATGATAACGATAATGATAACGATAATGATAACAATAATGATAACGATAATGATAACGATAATGATAACGATAATGATAACGATAATGATAACGATAATGATAACGATAATGATAACGATAATGATAACGATAATGATAATGATAATGATAATGATAACGATAACGATAACGATAGCGATGACGGTAACGATTACGATAATGATAACGATAACGATAACGATAACAATGACGATAAAGATAGCTGATAATGATAATAATATTGATATTGTTATTGATGACAACGACAATAATAGCAAAACAAACGACGGCAAAGAAAACAAGCATGATGTTGATTAAGATAAAACACAAGTAAGACCGTTCATTAGATAAGTTCCAAGTTGAAATTTCAGAGTGATCCTTTACTTTAAGTTCAAAACTAAGTCCAGTTTATTGAAGAATTCCTTCCTTTGTCATTAAGTATTAGTTAGTATTAAAAGCAGATAAGAAACAATGTTCTTCTTTTTATTTTCCTTAAATTTGCATGGAAAAATGAATAGAAAAAGTGATAGCCACCTTAAAATACTTTTTTGTTTCCTCTTTCATTGCAAAAGTAGAAAGTTAAAGATGAAGTCGAAAAGAATGTCCGAGTTTACGCATATTCGATTGTTTTTTTCCTAAATGTAAGAAAACAAAACAGACTAACAAAGAAAACAGAGTAATACACAACACGAAAATTGAAATTGTTATTGTTTACTTAGAATACAAGTCGGTGCCACTCCACTCCAGGTCTTGTCCTTTAGGCATTGTCTGCTCCCCAACCCTGAGAGCTGATAACCGCTTTTACAACTGTACGTACACAAATGTGTGTAACTTACGCCAGTAGTTGTGCATGTTGAGGGGTATATATTTCCATTTGCAATGGCTGGCAAGGCAGGACACTGAACAGCTGTCAAAACACAGATAGAAAATTTAGTTATATTTTTTTCCACACACGACCAATTTTTTACCAACCACTAAACACTTCCACTCCAACTGTGGAGACTTTTCAACTTTTGCATAAATCGAAACGAGGCAAAATAAATGAGAAAGGTAAGTTGGTTCCCAGCTTCCTCGTGTTGGCTTGCCCGATTAGGAAGGCCTCAATGGAGGAATGTAAACGAGTAAAATTTTGCAATTGTACAGCTAACGGTTCATTTCTTTCCGTTGCGGTTAATAAGAAAATACGGTTCATTTTTTTCACGTCTAACGGTTAAAATTTGTCAATTTTTGCGCCAAACGGTTGATTTCTTCTTTGCCATGTTGCGACTCGAAGCTAACCCCATGGGGTTCCTCGATTGGTGGTACTACGTTTTTTCTCTCCCGTTCATTCCAAAAAAAAAATCGCCTTAGTTTGCGAGATGAGCAGTGAACCTCAGCGATATCGAAAATTCCATCTCGGTAACCGAGATGCAGCAATTACATCGGAAAAATTTTAACCCTCTTTCTCACTTAAATAGGGCCCAATTTTGAAAAAGTTGTGAGTTGAAAGGCAGTTGACTGAATATTAAGAAGCACAAGATTTCCTATACTTACGGTTGCACGTGCCCATGTTTCCCTCCCACCTGCCAGATTTGCTACAGGTAAGAGTTCCGTGTTGGATGTCATCCATGACGTAACCGTCTTTGCACGTCATCACGCATTTATCACCAAAGACATTAGAATCCAGTTGAGTGCATCTTGGTGGTGTCACATTGCTTCTGGAGGGTACGCTGAGGGCACCACATTTGACAGCTGGTTTTTGGACGAAAAAAGAAAAGAACCACTTAGCTTTGAAAGAAAGGGGGGTGTGGCTCTTTAGCGGGAAATACTGTTGTTGGGTTTGCAAAGTTGCTTCCAGATCTCCCGCGTTCAGATTCTACAGAAGCGGATACGAAAGAGATTTTGAACGAGACTACGGCCATATTTGACTGGCGTAATCCGTTTTATGGATGTGAACTGGAATCAGGTTGAGCAAAAAGTCACAGACTTAAATAATTAAAATCGCCGCCCTCGTATAAGCGCTGCTCGTCGCATCGGAGACAGTAAACATAAAAATGCCGTAACGTAAAATCTGCAAGTTAAGTTGCGGCAACCCATATTTCTTGTATACTATGTACAATTTTAAATGGACTTAAAACTGCTTGTTTCAACATACCTCATCAAATGTGCATTTCTGTTTTGCTTTTAAACATCTAATAGAATGTTTGATAATGTGGTCTCATCGTTTGGATAAGAAAAGCCCTGAGAAGGATTGTTGATGGAAACAGAGACTAACGTTTCAACAACCTTAGCGGAAGTCATCATCAAGGTCAACTGAAGAGTTCTCTCGCAGTTGAGCATTCTAAGTCTGGTTCGTGACATCTGATTAGTTAATTTTTTTTCAATGATGTTATTGATCAGCTTCAACGAGAAGTCATTGAAGTTAGCTTACGTTGACAAATCCTGTTATTGGCTCCCTGAGTGTAACCTTCCTTACAGACACAAAAATAGGTTCCACCGACGTCGTGACAGGTTGAGATAGACTTGTCGCAAGAGTCTGTACCCAAAGAACACTCATTTATGTCTGGAAAAAAAAAAAGAAAGGGATAATGATGAAAAAAAAAACAAACCAACAAACAAAGAAAAAACAAAAAAGAAAGAGTAAGAAAGTCGACAAACTTAAAGTTCTTTTTCACGACCGAGACAGATCTTCTGTAATTAAAGTTATATCGCATTTTGCCCCAATATTTATTTTCCACGAAGTTTATTCGCACCTAGTTACATTAAAGAAATACTTGCACTGAGAAAACTTTTTCAAAGCGAACGCAATAGAGCGCGCTATAGTCTATGATTATATTTTGTTTTGTCCAGGAAAGGCGTTTCAATAAAGCGAAATAATTTCGATTTTTTTTTGCTGGAAACTAGTTTCGTACAATCAGATGAAAATTACATTTGGTTCATTGCCCTATGGCGGTGTGGTGGAACAATAATTGATAACTAGCGAGGATGCGCGGCAATTTTCCCTGATCAATTACCAAGGTGTATTTTTACATGCATTTTTGCGCTCACTAGAAAATTACTTCATCAAAATTTCAAGCCGATTGTCAAGAGGATTCTTACTTATGCATTTCTTGGGATTTGAGTTCTGGTAACCATCCTTGCAAATGCACTTGTAATCACCAGGAAGATTCTCACAAGATTTTGACGTCACCGGATCACACGGTTGACCTTGATTGCACTCATTCACATCTAATGAATAGAGAAGCACAATTAGGGGAGAGGTGGGTTCATTTCTCTTTATTCCGTCTATTTACGGTAGGTAACAGTTTACACAATCGAGACCTTCACCAAATGGTATTCTTGACTCAGATTAATATTTATTTGAGATAGTTAGAGCTATGCAAGGTGGCTCTGCTTGTATTGGCTAGATGACTGAGTCCTTTTCAAAAAAATAATGGCAGTGCCGTAATCGCATTTTTCGCACATTTAAAGAGAATTTCCGAAAGGTTAGATTAATGTTTTGTATGATGAAGCATGATAATAACAGCTATGGCAATAGTTATGAAAACTCAATATAAGATACAGACATTTTTCGCAATACCTTCACACTCAGTGTTTGAATTTGCTTTTTTGACGTAACCACGTGGACACTGGCAGTAGTATGAGCCCACGGTGTTATGACACTCGGCCGGGGGTACACAAATGGGAGGATTTTGTTTGCATTCATCCACATCCAAGACTGAAACCAATACGAATCAAAATGTGTTATTGAATCAGCTCCAAATCTGCTTTTTCTTAAGGGCTGACTAAGAATGCCTAGATTCTACTCGATTTTAAAGAAGAGCAGCAAAAAGGACCTTGTTTCAGTGGCACAGCCCCATGCAAACCTCCCCTACCACGCCCTAACATACATCCATTTCTGGATTGCTCTGATTTGCAGGGAATTTTTCCGCCTGTGCGAAAACGTCTTAGAACTTTATAAATGATTTGAAAAAGTACCTAGGACACTGACACAATCAACTTAGTCAATCCATAGTTGTCTCAATTCACCATATTCCAGAAAATGGACAGTTTTTATTGGCTTGATTAAAGGTTGAAGTTCAATTAAATATTTTACAGTGAGGTTTTAATTTCTCTTGTGTCTCAACGTACACGGCTGCTCATGTTGTAATGTACGAACGCCAACGCATAAAACAATAGTTGTGTTAAGACCAACGAACCAATGTAAATGATGTAAATTTCTCCAACTTTATAGTAGCAGACTTCGTTACTTTAATTGAATATGCGGTGCCATAGCATGCAATTAACAATGTAAGTATCAATAACAAATCAGCCAAACGACCGACATTACACAGAACATTCCGAGTCACGGAGGTTATGTGATCTAAAAGGCGGGAAAAACTGGCGAACAGGGAACCCAGCTAAAAAAAGATTAGATCAATGACCAAATCAATATAACACAATAGCAACTCACCATCGCAGTAACCCTTTGCATTTATGCGAAATCCACTTGGACAAGAGACTGAAAGACAATTCAGACTAAGCAACAATGAAGGAAATTAACTCATTAAGAAACAGTATAACTCACAGAAGACGAACGACCAAGAAAATCCTTAACGAGTTCTTTGACGTGCAGTGTACGGGTTTAAAACACCAGTCTTGAGTCTTTCCTCTTGGCACGAAAATCGTGCGGGTGCTTACCGTAATATTGCGAGTTTCGCATATGGTCATCTATACAAAAAATTAGCTTCCGTACAAGAAAAAATTCTGAAAAAATATTCCCTCTTCTTGACTAATTAATAAGTCGAAAATTTGACGATATTCCGCTATATTTTTTGTCAATGTTCCGCTACCTTAATAAGAAATTCCTGAAAACTTTAGCTCTCACCAGAAATTTCTATTTTTTTGCATTGCAAACATTTGTTCCCAAAAAGTCGCTAAACCTTAAAACTAACATCTAGAAAAAGAAATCAGAGGAGTCATTTTGCAGTTTTTGAAAACTCCTCTCCCCATCAATATTAAAATGACCCATCCTTGTCGGCATTTTTACAAAGCATGCTCTTTTTTAAATGTCCAAGGCTGATATTTCTAGATATTTCCCTCAAACTCTAAGCATGCGTAGTCTTACCCTCGTGACTCTTAGGCCAAAAAGACTTACCCAAATTACTTTTTATCTCAAAAGCATGAAAAATAGCCAAATTTGTGCTGCGAATCTTACTCATGCGAAGAATTCTCTTGGCTGATCAATATTCGCGTAAAACATATATCTCAGCAACGCACAAGGTGAGTACAGTTACTTACGGGTTAATTTAACCCACTTGTTTTTGGGGACCCAGGCGTTATAATTGAAGATGCTATCTACGGCACCAGCGACATGGATGGTGATCTAGAAAGGTAGAAACGATACAATGAATTTCCTATGACCCAGGAGGATATCACATCATGTTAACTTATAGTGATTTTAATATCACAATTACATACACAACTCAAGCACTTGTGATCGTGAAGACTATTGACGGAATTTTATCAGACTTCACTTGTTGTACATAAAAGAGAGATGACATTTTCTAAAAATGAAAATTTTTGTTCTGCAATAGATCTGCTGAAACAGGCCGCCTATAAAAAACTATGGGACAATTCAAGCCTTTCATACACTTGGCCGAAATAGATCATATAGTGAAATTCGCTTTCTCGTTAATTAATTTCTTAAACAGCCAAAGACACAATGCGGAAGATGATTTTTTTAAGTTACACTCCTGCGGTCTTCAAGCATGCGAAAATACTGAAATACCAACATTTGACGTTTAACTAACACTGAAAAAGTGAAAAAGGCAACGGTCAAAGATCCAGTTGAGATGTCACCTTTCTGTGCCCTACACATGCTTGGCTGCATTTAAAAAAGTTGGAGTCTATCGCCAGTTTCACCTCTGTCCTCGGATTGGTTTTGATCACCTGTTGGCCTCCCAGTTTCAGTAAATACGCTACAAAACTACAAGTAGTTTGTATATCCTCGGTTTTATGAGCAATTTACCTTGTCAAGTTTCCAATCTGGCCCAAACCCACTGCTATCACGTTTAATGTCCATTCCTGTGACATTTCCAATGTCGTAGTCGTCTACATCAATGTTGTCAGTTCTATACGTCGTGGAAGAGAAATAATGCAACTTATACTCAAAATCTTATCAAAACGACAAAATTCATGATGAAGCAAATTTTTTAGATGCAAAGCAGTTTACATGCATGAAAGATTGTTCTCCACATGCATGGTAGATTTTACTGTTGTAAAGTTCGAACTAAGCAATTAAAATTAAGGTCAGATAAATCATGCTGGCACACATTTTGGTATAACGCTAAAGTCAGAGCATCGAGCGTAATGCCGACATAACGACTAAACTTCTTAAACATTCATTTGATGTCACAGTTCAACGAGCGATAAATTCTTTATCCTAAATAATGTCAACAGTAAGCCTGCTTTCCTTGCCTGCACTTTAGCAATTTGATTTACCTAAATGTTGTGTTCAAGCCTCCTTTAGCCTTTTATTCTTAGCAAGGTTTACTCGTTGGTGGTAGAAATGTCAGAGAAAGGGTTTAGCGGCTCTTAAAGGCTATTTTTCTTTTGCATAATTAAATTGAGCATCATGAAAATTAGTGAGCTTAATTTTCGGCACGATGCCTTGTTTTCATTCGTAATGCTCAGATTTTGCAGCATAGTTTGTTTGACCGATCATTATATGATCGACCATCATCATCAACTTCATCGTCAACTTCTTGTAGTCATATAATCATCAACTTCTTAGGTTGCCATTGACACCGCTATCATCATTGTCTTCGTTGTCGTTGCTATCATCATTATCATAATAATGTTAATAATTTTCATCATCATTACTTATCCTGTTCAAAGCTTCCTTTTATTTCTCTTTCTATCTTTCCGTCTTTTGAGCCTTGCATTCGGATGCGAATTGTGGCATCGGTGCCGGCAAATGGTACATCCGCGGTTTTAACTACCAACTTGTAAACTGAAAAGAATCATTCAATTAATAAAAATATTGGATAATAAAAAAGATTATTAAGGCCTGAGGGAAAGATTAGCTACTTTACAGAAAGACGTCGCGCAGCAATTTTACTCGGTACATAACTTTAAATTGCATTGGATTCCTCTCCGGAAACGAAGAACCCATTTAACTTTACAATACTCCCGCCATCATCTTGGAGGCACGTTTCACGGGTTCGAATCCCTGACATCGAAGCCCAAGTTATCATGGGCTTCTTATCTTTAATTTCTTAAATTGCAGCTTACTTGCGAGGCTCTGATATAGACCTGAATAACTTAAAAATTACGCAACAGCTTAAGGTATCTTATATGCAATAAATCACATTTCGTTGCACTGGAGCTTAAAAAGGTTAAAATTATGTCAATCGGTTTCGGACGTTTCATTGTAATTTTGGCTTTTCAATTCATCGGGTAGATATCCCCCAAAAAATTAAATTTCCAATTGCATTATCCCTAATTATTACTTTCTCAAAACCCTCCACAAGAAGTTTAAGAGGGCATTAATCATTACTACTCGGAGGTCGTTCTCTTGAAAACAACCGGGAAATTTTAGGATTAAACGAAAATTCTGTGTGATAACATTTTAAACTTCTCTAATAAACAAAATATTTTAGCCGATCGAGTTAAAAGGCAGCTATGAGGATTTTGGCATACCCAGGGCGTAAATGAAAAAAAAAATCCATATGATTTCTCTTCTAAAAAGACGAATAGTGTAGTTCTTTGGGTGAGAAATGGGTACACCTAATCGGCAAGGAATAACAATTGGGAGAGCTCATAATACAATTTTCTGTGGGTGAGTTAGACGAAAACGGTAGATTCTTGATCAAATTGCTATCAAAGGACGGAATTTGGAACACAGGAAATAACACCGCTATCTGCCTTCTTCTATCACCATATGCAATACGATCCGAAAATATTCAACAAAAATTTTCCCACTTGAAGCGAATTTTGATTACATGGAACCTCGGCGAATTCACAACTGCCGAACACTAGACAGTAGAGCCTTAAAAGTTTGAATTTGTCGAACGAGCCGAGCTTTCAAAATCAATTCCCGACAAAAATATTGTAATTTTATTGCAACACCTAACGCTTTCCACGAACGGGTTTTTCTCGTATCAAAAATCAGAGTTTGGCTGTTCCATGTCTGTTCTTTGTCAGGTGGTGAGGAAAATACTATCTCGTTCATGAACGATCCACTGTCGCCGAAAAAGAAGCAGTTTTTCGAGACCATAATTTTCTACACAATGTAAACGACTAAGTTTTTCGCATGCTGAAGTAAGATTATTTAACGGAGGTGAAGAAAACAATCCTTCTAAAACTGGCTGCTTCTTAATTCCATTGTAACTTCTCCGTTCTCGACATAAATACAATTTAGCTCTTAAACAAGACAATTTTTTTAATTAAAGTCATGAACGTCGTTCATTCTGAAGAAAAAAGTGGATGGTCTATGAGATATGCTTTTATCTTTTTGTTAGAAACGCACTCGATGAAATAGAGTTCACGACATAAGACCCTCGCGGTAACCAAGAAGTGAAAGCTTTTTAATCTTTTAACAAACTTCCGCCAGTTATTTTAAGTTAATTTTTTACATTAGAAAACCTATTGGTCGTTTTCCAAAACTAATCATTTTAATTTAATGGGAGAGCATCAACTTTTCTGTTGACTGATACTCGTTATTCAAGTTAAATATCTTGTAATGAGAATCAAAAATTTTCAACTCACGTTTTCCTTCAGAAACAGTAGCTCCGTAAAATAAGAGCGTAGAAAACAGTAACACAAGCATTTTTTCGCTTTGATAAATTCTTCCGTTATAGAATCATCTAAAGTTTCATGATATGTTATCTTGATTAGGCCGATAATAAACTTCAAACCATCCAAACCTTGATTTTATTCCCAGCTGGGTAAGCCATGTCAATCATATTGTCATGGCCACGAATTCTTGCTTTTACAGCTGTGAAAAACAAATCTTATTTCCGTACTCAACGTCACGCACTATGGCCTAATTATTCCCACAAATAATGAATTCGCTTTATTACTGTATGAGTAACCCAGGCTGTGTTTGACCTCCTTGCAGCTCAGTAAACAGCACTGCGAACATTTTTTTTCGATTTGGAAATTTTTCCTTATAATAAAATATAACTGAGTGATTCGTATTCGTTTGAAACTGAAATATGAACAATGTTCCTTTTCTGCGTTACTTCTTCTTTATTGCGATTATCATAGGAGGCCTGATAAGCAGCAAACGATTTTGAGCTCGTACAGTATGCAAAAAAATATATTTTTGATATCTCTTTCTTGGAGTTGACTCGCTAATTAGTACTTAATAAAAATCAACCTTAGCGTCCTTCGCTTTTCTTTTTCTTCTCTGCACAACTCTGTTTCAAGGCTCTCTTGCCAAATACTTCAACTTATCTCATATAAATTCGACGGAGCTCTCACTTAAGGTGCAAGGAACGAATTTTTAAATTCTACTTCGTGCATGAAAGCTGTCCACCAATCCAGGGAGTGTTTCAAAAAAGTGATTTGTCAAACCACCGGCGTCACAACAAAACGGTGTGTCAGGAACTGCGAGAGAATTACCGAGTGCACCAAGGCCTTTGGTAAATAAAGTAAATAAACTTAATTATACATGAGCTTTACTAGACAAGAACTTAAAAAGCTGTCTGAAAGCCCTGATTTGAAAGACATCACAGTATAATCTGTTAAATGCTTGTTCTTATGAGCGAAAGTGCTTTTCAGTTCGTAGGCTTATCTGCCATTCCCGACAACATATGTTTCTCTGTTTATAACAATAAGAATGAAAAAGTTTGTTGACAGTGAGTTTTTTTAATAAACTTGAATCATTTAATAATTTCTTTCAGATTAACGAAAAATTAGCGAAGGGACAAATTTGTATATAACCATTTTCAACCGATCATTGGTAACTATACTAATATAACCTCAAAGAAACATAGCTAACTTTACGATGTTATAATTTAAATGACAGAGACAGTGTTTTTTTTCCGACGGTTTTTAATATAATTCGCTAAAAAAAAACTTATAAGTCACCCCTGTCAAAAGCTGAGCGAGGTTTAAACTTCGCGAGTATCAGCTCTACGCTCGCCACTGATATACATGCATTATTTGGATCTACCAGCACAAGTAAATTCTCTCTTCAGATTTCGACACATCCCATACGTACATTTCTGAGAATTTCGTATTGGATCAAGACAGGTCGAAGAGGCTCGGTGCCTTAAAAAACTTCTTGCTTGATGGAAAAAGACAACCACGATTTTTAAATTTGGAAGGCTGTGCGCGATGATCCAAGCTAGACTGGGTAAAGCCGTGCGACCCTGCAAGAAGTGAATTAAAAGAGGTAATGAATAAATTTAGGTAGAATACTTTTCGACTGAGTTATGTCGAGCATTACTGGAAAAATATTTGGCTCCCAAAAATTTTAAAACGTAGGGACCCAGCGTGGCGACACCTGAACTTCATGAGCTCGAACCAATTATTTCGCCGTCCGGTTTTGCATGTTGTCGTAGTACTTGGTTAGGTCGTTTGCTCACGTGGTATGAAGTAGGATACTCAGGATATTGTTGGTGGATCGAGAGGGTGGGAGGGTCTAGTGATCTGGAAACCTACCAAACCATCAGAAGTAAATGCGAAGTATTTGAATTTTATTTGCCATTCAATATTTCTTTGCGTATTTAGGCTGTAATTAATGTAACATAAAAT